TTTTGCAATTACCTGTTATTGCTAGAGAAAGCTTTATTAACTTGTTGATTTATTGTCCAAAGTCAAGCTACAGTGATTAGATGTTAATTTGAAATTATTTCCCCTATGAACCTATGTGATAGTCGTCTATAAAGAGTTAAAACATAATAGCTGCTCACAGTCAACTCATCGAAGGAGATGTTCTTCGTTGCAATTGTTTGCACTGCAACATCCTATGAGATGAGGGGGGAAGCAAAAAAACTGAGCAGGAGTTTGGAAAGATGAATGCTCTTATCATGATAAATATTCATGACGGTTACATAGTCTAATTGAGTGTTTTTTCAAGATTTATCAAGCAAATATACATTATTGCAAAAAACGCAAAATACCCACCGACAATAGGATTAGAACCTGCACCGCACACCTGCAAACCAAAACACTTACGACTGCGCCACCCTGGCACTTAGTTAGAGCACTTGCACAAAGTACTCCGTAATGTAGGCGGCCTCATGGAAACAAGTGCCCATATCTTCTTCCAGAGAACCGTTTCGCAGATATGGAAGACAGATTTGAGTTTCCCATATTCAACTTGTTATTATGGAATATATTTTGTTTTGAATGGGCACTTCAGTAAAAAGCATTCCCTGTGAGATATTGCCATATTGATAACATATCCATTATCTGTGAGTATTTCTCTGTATTTTATATTTTTACCAAGGGATCTTTAGTTTTAGAGCATGTTCGAGTATCCTGAAGATTTCTGTATATTGGTACCTTTTTTCGTAAATATTGCTATACTTATTTAATTGAATACTTAAATGGCCTGTCTTCACTCGTCCTGCAGGCCCCACTTCTGTCGCTCACTAGCGTCATCCACGATGTTAGTGTTAAACTGCGGTGGCGACACTCGCGAGGTCCAGATCCATCCTCGTTACCAGCAGAGGCTGGTCCATCCGTGCAATAACACGTCAGCCCATATGGTGTGCCTCTCTCAAGGATGTTTCGCTTCGCGAGGGATCCATTCCAGATTTCTTAGTGTCCATCTGTCGTCTGTCCTTCTCACTATATGACCAGTCCTTCGATGGTTTGCCTTAGAGACGTATTCATCTGGATCGCAAAGACGAGACATTGATCTCATATCTAAACTGCGAAGTCCGACGAGTACTTCACTTATACTTACCTATACTTCAGTACTTTGTTGTACTTCTGGAGACGTCGTTCCAGCGCTCTGTGGGCTGTTCGGAGTGCCTTCGAGGAGAGCGGTTGAATCAAACAGGTGCTCTTGGAGGTCTAGGTCCGTTAGTTAGTCTATGGCTTCCTTTAGGGGTCCGAAGGTGGCCTAAGCTGCTCTTCGCCCCCTCCTTAGTTCTTCTTTCAGGTCGTTCTCCATGTTCATCAAACGTTCGAGATATG